CAGCGGCGACCGTGACTCCGCCCTGGGGACGCGCGGCACCGGGCCTCGGTCTGGGGCGGCTTTGGGGACTCGGCGAGGACCCCTGGAAACGTTAAAAAGAAGGAAATGTCTTCTTGAATGGGCTCGAGGCCCTGTCTTGTGGTTTTTCAGCGCTGGGAACGGAACGCAGGGCCTCTGGCCGGGTGGCCCCGGGCGGGCACTGCCCCCAGCCCACGAACAGCGAAAGGGTCGCTGGGATGGAGCCGCCGGCCCGGGCTCCCCAGTGTGAGAGAAGGAAAGCAAAGGCCGGCCGGGGGACTCGGGACAGGGCAAGCCCCGCAGTGCCCGGCCTCAGCGCCCACTCCCCACTTTCCCCTGCAACACACTGGGGGTGGGGGGCACGCCCCAAGATCAGGAAGGACCGCGACCCGGCTTTCTGCTTGGAAATCAGAAATGGGCTGAATTTGGGGATCGAACCTGGACGTGGGCTGCCGGCCCCTGTCCCAGGGGATTGGGCTCCTGAGCCCAGGACAAAGGCCTGGCTGGAGATGGGCTTGGGGGGCAAGGGAGGGCAGTGAGTGACTGCGCCCTGTCTCCCTCATCTGCCCCCAGCCAGCAGATCTCGGACTCGGGAGCGGAGCCCCCACTGTCGCTGCTCAACCCCACCGGGGTCAAAGCCCTCCAGTCAGGAAGCGGGGTTCCAGCCCCCCAAATGGAACGACCCCCATCGGGGGCCACTGTCACCCCACAGCGACGCCCACAGGCCTCGGTGCCACCGTGGCCCGAGACGTCCAGCCTGAGCGTCCGCAATCAGGGCCTCGCACAAGGCCTGGCCCAGGGCTTTACAATCGCCCATTGTTCGGCCCCAAGCGGCCCTGGGAGCCGGCACAACGCGTCCCCACGGACGGCCCCGACGACTGCAGGCAGGGCCGGTGGCCGCGCCCTCTGGCGGCGAGGAGCGGCGTTGGGGTCCTCAGTGCACCCACCTGAGCCCGGGGGCGGGGGTCATGGAGGGACAGCTCCTCTGCTTCCCCGAGGGCAGGGTCCCTGTGGGGCTCCGCGCAGGAACCGGAGCCAGGAGATGACGCTGCCCTGAGTGACGCCAGCAGGGACTCCAGGACACCCGCATCGCTCCACCGCCCAGAGAAAAGGGTCTGGAGCCCTGGGTGCCCCGAAGACAGACAGACAGACAGACAGATAGATGGCCTGGGGGATGGCGGGTGCCACTAGATCTATAAACACCTGTTATGAACTGCTGTCTCATCTGTTGCACTATTGGGTAGTGAGAAACCACTCAAATGTGTGCAAGGACCATTTACAAAGATTGCTTTAAAGCTATAAATAGAATCTGCAATGCTTTTCTCCCACGCCCTAAAGAGTTCTCTCAAGCACCCCCGGCCCACCCCAACCTGGGAACTGCGTTCTAAAGGACACCCAGCCTCCCCTCCTGGACCCCACCTGGGTGGCCTCTGAGGACCCAGCATCCTGGCCCTGTCCCCTCACAACACTGGTGGGTGCCAGAGGCCCCTGCTGCACCTGCAGGTGGCCCATGTCCCCCACCCTGCACCCAGGGGATCCGACTTGTGCTCACACGTGTGTGTGTGTGTGTGTGCGTGCGTGTGTGCACCCTTGGTTTCCTTGTCTGCATGATGGGGACCTCCTGCCTGGGCAAGGACACAAAAGCCTTGGTAGTTGCAGCTCCATTGGACAGCAGGCCTGGCTCCCTGCCTCAGCTGGGCAGTGGCCTCATGGCCTTGGGTCACCCCAAAGCTCACATAGCCCTGGGACATAGGTGGCATGTTCCCTTCCCGCTGCCCACACACCCTGGAGTGGCACCATGCCTGGACCCAGCTGTGCCACCCACGTCTCCTCTCCTCTCTCAGCACCCAGGGCAGAGGCTGTGGATTTTGGCGGCCTGGCACCAAGTAGGAGCCAGAGGCGGGCAATGGGAATGGCTTGGGAAACCCAGTGCAGAGCCAGGGACCCCAGCCAAGTCCTGCACCCACCCAGGACCCACATCCCCAGTCGTGCCTTGGGGCACCCTATGGACCCCAACACCGGGCTGCAGATCCCAGAGGCCAGGAGGGGGCGGTAGGGTGAGTGGACCCAGGCTGGACTCCTGGGGATCTGTGAGGCCCCTGAGTTGCCATTTGAGGACAGAAGAAAAGGACAGAGAAGTGTCCCCATCTAAGTGTACCTGGCAGAGGACTGTGTGGGCTCTCTCTCTCTCTCACACACACACACACACACACACAGAGGGGGTGGACAGGCTGCCCTGTGCTTTCCAGAGTAAGGAGTGTTGCACCAAAGGCCTCTGCTCTGGAAGGGCCCCTCTGAGGCCGTGAGTGATTCAGGACCCTGGGGTCACTTGGGCTGCAATGGGAGTTAACAGGTAGAGGGCAGGGCTACTTTTGGGGAGATGGGTGTTTTCCTACAGTGACCATGGCTGGGGGGGCCCTGGACCAGCTGGAAAGCAAGGCATGGTGCGCTTGGGTGGGTGACTGCATGCTGTGAGGCATCCTAGAGCAGCTGGTAAGGAGCTGGTGTGGCTACGTGGGACCTTGCTGTGCTCACAGTAAGGCTGGACAGACCCAGAGCTCCCTGACAGCGGAACCCCAACCCTTTGGACCCTGGTGCTCCTGACTCCCCACCGAGCCCCCTCCCCAGCACCGGCAGGAGGAGCTAGGCTCCAGAACTCTGTCCTGCTCTCTGAGGTTCTCTGACCCCTCCCCACATGGCCTTGGCCCTGCTGAGAAGTAACCCTGTCTTCCGTTGCCCTGCTTGGACTCAGCACAAGAAGTGAAATCCACACCCAAAGAAGACAGTTAACAGGTATTCACTCCACAAACCCCAGGCTTTACTGTACCCCAAGCAGCAGGCAGTGTCTGCGGCACACAGTTCCTTCCTCTCCTTTCCAGGCACTCAGCCTGGTGGCTCTCCCAAGCCCAGGAGAAGGAGGAGGACAGGGCAAGAACATGGGCTCTGTAGTGGACGCTTTCAGAGCTGGGTGCCGTGAGATCCACCGGGCAGATCCGTGGGAAAAAGGCAGGAAGAGTGTGGGGGGTTATAAAGGTACAAGGCTCTTCAGGAAGACGGGGAGCCCAAACAGTGACAGCCAGGCAGTGTGCACAGTCAGTGGGGAGCTGGACACATGTGGGGAGACCTGCTACTGCCCCCGAGCGCCGTGTCCTCCCCGGCATGGTGCCATGGCCCCACGAGGCCCGGGTGTCTTGGGTCTCGTCAGGAAGCGCCTGACCCTGTGGAAATGCAGCCACAGGCTGTCCTGCCCACACCAGGACAGCTGACTGGGGTGACCTGAGGTGGGGACACATGAGCCTCAGGACCAGCTCCACTCCTCAGGGAGGACGTGCCATCCTGGACCAGCACCAGAGCCCCGAGGTGATGAATGAGGTCCCTTCCCACGGCGCCTCCCAGGCAAGGTGACCCAGGGAGCAGGGCAAGTGACTCCAGAGACAAAAGGGACATCCAAGACCCACCCTGCACAAGGCCTGGCCGGCACTGTGGGCAGGAAGTCTCCAGCGGGGCAGGCCTGGGGCAGGAGCGGGGTAGCCACGCTGGAAGGGGATCCCACTGCTCAGCACAGCCTCCTCCCGACCCTGGACAGTTCTGCCCTGGGTCTGCATACTTGGAGCAAAAGGTCACCTCTGCCACCCACCCCCAGGGTGGGCAGGGATTGTGCCCAGGGAGGAGTTCAGGCAGCAGCCGTGGGTGCCCACGCCCACCTGTCTCCAGCCACCACACTGGACAGAGGCAAGGAGAGGGTGGAGCTGAGGGACAGAGGGCCTGGGTCCAGGGGACATAAAGGCCCTGAGGTTCTGTCCACAGAGCCCTGTTGGCCCTGCACCTGCTGGCACCATGGTAACTCTGCCATCGAGGCAGGGGAGGGGCCGGGCACCTGGTAGGCAGGGGATATCCCTGTGGGGTGGCAGGTGGGGGCTCAGGGCCTTGGGGTGCCCACCACACCTAGGGACAGAGTGATCTGAGGGCTCCTACATGATCTGCATCCTGTGGGGTGTGGTGTCCCTGGCTGGTGTCCCCCTGTGCAAGAGGCTGACGGCCTGCCTCCTCCACAGGCCGCTCTGGCCAAGGCGGGTAGCTGGGCAGGGCCTCGGGCCGGGCTAGGAGAGGGAGCAGGGGGTGGGCAGTTTGTGACCAGCTGCAGGGCGGCTGGAAGGTGAGCACTTAACGGGTCTGGCTACTCCCAGGCCAGAGGGAGATAGAGGGGCTGGAGGCGGTGAGGACGGTGCTGTGGGAAGAAAACGGGGCGAAGGAAAAGCTGAGGCTCTAAGGCGTGGGTCCCCGTTGTGTGTGTTCGGAGCCTTCTCACTGAGCTGCACCCTCAGCCCATGCATCCTAAGTGGCCCAGCTGGGCCGGGACTTGGCCATCCTCCCGCCTCGGCCTCCGAATGCTGAGCTTAAAGGAGGTCACTTGTACCCCCGCCTCGCCGAGGGTGTCCAGGTCGCGCCCTGGGCCCCAGGCTGTCCTTTACGGCGTCTCCAGGTCCCAGGACCCGGGCATCCGCAGTCGTC